CGTGGGTCGCCAAGAAAAATCAAACTCGTTTTAGAGCTCCTTTTCCGCTGAAAAACTGAGCAAGAATGAATATAATTTTCCCAAAACCATTTATGCTCTCTTTATTGCGTAAATCCCGTACACATGACATAGCACGCCCATTAATAACACTGTATTGTAAACTATTTGACTTTGTATATCATTACTGAAGTATTGCCAATAGTGGCGTCTAGAAGTCTGGTAAGAAATATCACCAAAGAGGTTGCAAAGTTGAGTTTGGAAGAAAGACAATATGGCGAAGAAATTAAAAGAATAGAATTCAAGACATCAACACAAGAAAATGACAATGAAATATGTGAAATGTCTTCGGTGGCAAAGGAAGTATCTTGAAAAGAACAGAAGAACGTCACGTGCGAAACAGTTGAGCCATGAAGTGTCTCAGGATACCATCGACACGGATGGGTTTGGGCTATACTGAGACCCCTTGTAGTTCGTGGGAATGCAATTCCAACTGGAGGACAAATGAATAGATTCTAGTTCCCAATAGTGCAAAATCTACTGCAAGGGTTCTATTTTTGGGGACACTTTTGTGGATTTATTTTCCCGAAAAAGCGTTTCTCTTGATGCCTCTCGTCCAAAATAAGGTAGAAAACGTTGATTTGCATATGCTGTCTCGGACAAAATTTTGTTTTGATTTAATTTCGGCCCGAAAAAAACGATGTTTGTCGATCGTTTTTGTCTCTTTTTTAGGAGATTTCGAGCGGAGTCTCCTCCCTTGTCACTCTACATATATATATGTAGAGGGGAGATTTTTAAAACCCATCTATAATGCATATTAAAGCTAAATGAAATAAAAGTAAACCATTTTTAGAAGTAAAATGTGTTTTTTTAACCATATAGATTCAAAGTCGTTGCTTGGGCTCCCTGTGTTTCCACATGCCGGGCATGATCCTAATCAGGTAGATCCCAGGCCCCCGCGGAAATAAAATTATTCGTCTGTTCTGCTATTTGTATAAATTCCTTCGCTTTTTTCCCCTCCCGAATAATCAATTCGGACTAGACGGGATTTCAAGTCCTTGCAAAAATTAGTTCCAGTCCGAGGCTTTTAAACATTACACCTTTTGCTGTTCATTAACCGCGAAGGGACTTTCAATCAAGCGAAACTGCTGATTGTCCATGTCTATGCTAAATATGTTAATGATTCTCCCTTCACGCTCTTGAAACTCCCTAAGCGTTAATGAAYGTTMGTTCRCKCTAAARACRATGCAGTTTCGCTTGATTGAAAGTCCCTTCGCGGTTAATGAACAGCAAAAGGTGTACTTCACTCTCGGCGTTGTTTTTGTAACTAATCACGCGATCAGCTTCAGGCTCACCTTTCTGTGTTAGCTGGGGTCATCAACGATGTAAGTACAGGGTCAACATTGTTATTTTACCCGGTAGAAAAGGGTAATGATATTCTTAAAGGAATGAATAACAAAGCCCTGAAAACAAATATCAGCATTAACATAAATTTTAACTCAAGACTGACTGTATATGGATCAAATCGATCCCTGCATAGCAATATTTATTTATATACAGAAAACATAATGGGAATTTCAAATGCCCTGGTCTTTACGTTAATTCTGTACACTTTATATTTACGGACCTGTTCTAATTTCATCAATGTCGATCAAAGCTTCTAATTGGAATTCCGAGTATGTTCAGTGTACGCGTTCTATCTGTTATGATCAGATCAATTTTTGTTCAGACTTTACACTCGGTCGAAAAAAAAGGACAGAAGGACTGAGNTTTTCCCAAAACCATTTATGCTCTCTTTATTGCGTAAATCCCGTGCACATGACATAGCACGCCCATTAATAACACTGTATTGTAAACTATTTCACTTTGCATATCATTAGGAGTATTGCCAATAGTGGTGTCTAGACGTCTGGTAAGAAATATCACCAAAGAGGTTGCAAAGTTAAGTTTGGAACGGAAAGACAATCTGGCGAAGAGAGTATAGCATTCAAGACATCAACACCAGAAAATGACAATGAAATATGTGAAATGTTCTCGGTGGCAAAGGAAGTATCTTGAAAAGAACAGAAGAACGTCACGTGCGAAACAGTTGAGCCATGCAGTGTCTCAGGATACCATCGACACGGATGGGTTTGGGCTATAGACCCCTTGTAGTTCGTGGGAATGCAATTCCAACTGGAGGACAAATGAATAGATTCTAGTTCCCAATTGGCCGATAACAAAACGAAAAAGGGACTGGGTACGAACTTCCAAATCTAAATAAATAATGGTTCCAGAAAGAATAACCCCATCATGTGAAAGAKCACCWYAYAAAARKCTTACTGACTAAGTTTCATGATGTTTGAACTTATAGCAATAAAGTTATGGACATTCAAACCATGCCAAAATTACAAAGAAATGTATGGTGTCCAGCCAAAGCGTCCAGCCAAACATACATTCTTTGTAATTTTCGAAATTTTTGAAAAATTATATTCCCAATTCTAATGACTTAAACTTGCTCAAACTTTAAAGTTTAGCTAATTTATATGTGCTTTATCTATCAACAACAGATTTCTGTAAGATTGTAGCACCTGCTCTGCTATGTGTATAAATTCCTTCGCCTTTTCCCCCTCCCGAATAATCAATTCGGACTAGACGGGATTTCAAGTCCTTGCAAAAATTAGTTCCAGTCCGAGGCTTTTAAACATTACTTCACTCTCGGCGTTGTTTTTGTAACTAATCACGCGATCAGCTTCAGACTCACCTTTCTGTGTTAGCTGGGGTCATCAACGATGTAAGTACAGGGTCAACATTGTTATTTTACCCGGTAGAAAAGGGTAATGATATTCTTAAAGGAATGAATAACAAAGCCCTGAAAACAAATATCAGCATTAACATAAATTTTAACTCAAGACTGACTGTATATGGATCAAATCGATCCCTGCATAGCAATATTTATTTATATACAGAAAACATAATGGGAATTTCAAATGCCCTGGTCTTTACGTTAATTCTGTACACTTTATATTTACGGACCTGTTCTAATTTCATCAATGTCGATCAAAGCTTCTAATTGGAATTCCGAGTATGTTCAGTGTACGCGTTCTATCTGTTATGATCAGATCAATTTTTGTTCAGACTTTACACTCGGTCGAAAAAAAAGGACAGAAGGACTGGGTTTTACTAAGCTTTGAAAAGGGAGAGAGAGAATGTTGGTTGACAATGAGGCAAAAGAAAGGACAATGGCGAACAAAAGGTGACAAAATCTCTGAGGGTTACAGCCAATTTCGATAAATTCTGTCAGTTATACTTCACAAAGCTCAAAACTCTTTACAACAGCTGTTTTGGAGAAGGCCGAATTAGACGACATAACCCTTGCCTGCAAAAGGTGACAAAATCTCTGAGGGTTACAGCCAATTTCGATAAATTCTGTCAGTTATACTTCACAAAGCTCAAAACTCTTTACAACAGCTGTTTTGGAGAAGGCCGAATTAGACGACATAACCCTTGCCTGCAACCATCGCATGCAACCTGCGTATAAGTCATCCTTACAACATGACCTCTATTAACTATGACTTAAGGCAACTTTATGGCCCGGAGTAGGCCTTTTGTTTATTTTTAATGAAGCGACTTGAACAYTAAACACTTTGAACACAACGCGAGCTCAAGGCATATCACATTCTAGCAATTTTGTATAGCCAGGAAAAGAAAGGATACAACGCATGTTATAGTGAGCTTCTCGAGCTGATTTGAGAATTGAATTCATAAAATCACTCTTGTGTTTAGTGCACTGGACCTTAACGGCACATTTCTTGACTAAAGGCGTAGTTTTAAGTTCTAAATGAACTTTCAGAATATGAGTGTCATGAAAGAAAATGACTGGTCGGGCATTATGAGCTATCATTAAGGATGACGGATAAAAAGTAACGATTTTACCAGTGTTATCGAGATCAGCGAGAACTCGTGGCAAAAGAAACAAATTAATACAAGCAAGAAGGGGCCATTTCATTACGTATGCACGATGCACTTGAGCTACCTTGGTCAAAGCACTGTTTCGCAGGTCGAGATGTTTTACATAATTTACGTTCAGGAAAATACGCTTTTTCATTCTTCAACAAGAATTTGATTAGGTTCAAACGTCAAGTCTAGTATCGAATATGTGTTGAAAGTCTTATTCAAGTTAAATTTCTGGAGTATATCTGCTTAAAATATGGTTAAAAATCATACAGGGTGACTGACTTGGAGAAGATAAAATGGCGACTGAAATGTGGTCAAAACCATACTTTGTCGTTGGTTTATCTTAGGAAGCAAGACGCTCTGGTGCCTGTTCTTATAGCCATGTAAATTGGATGCAATTTGTACTTCATGACAACATTTTGTTTTGAAATTAACATGTAAAAGAATTGGAGGGAAGGTTATGGCAATAAAGAATTTATTCTATTTCACTCTATTTCACTTTATATTTTTAATCATTTGTTCTTACATTAATGGATGATTTGGCAAATATTAATAATTCTCAGTACAGTGGAGGGCTATAACATAATGTCGTCATGTTTTACTAATCATTTTGCCTAWGAACTTCTCAATCATATACACCTATTTCAGTTGCGTTCAGTTTCCATATGCAATCATGTACACCTATTTTAGTTGCATGGCAACTTGATGTCCTTGTAGCTATCTTTCCTCAAAATTGTTTTATAGCTCATTTAAAATTTAAAGCGTTCATTCTTTCTGCAATAAGGAAACAATTTTAGGCTGCACATGACCACATAAATCAACTCTGAGCCTTGACATCTATTTTTAGAAGAAAAAAAATTGCGAATAATGGTATTACAAAGTTGACTCGGGTCTTTCCGTATTTCGCAGAAAAATTCAATTCCTCCTAATTTCCTTCGAGCCATGACACTACTTGTGTTATTATGTATATTTTTTGTCATACTGTATAAGGAGACCTCCTTCGTTCGTTTTTAGCTAAGATCTTTTGAACACTATTCAAAGCAATTTGAGCAAACAAATTAAATGGGCTCAAAATTGTTGCACAGGCTCATTGATCAATATTTTCACCAAAAAAAAATGGCTCACTAGAGATCCTGAATATACCATGTTACTTACAAGTCTACTTTTATTCTTTCCCATTTTTAATCATCAAAAACGAAATATTGGCTGAACTTACAAGACCACTTGAAAAAAAAACCGCGTATAAGAACCTAGGTTTCGGTAAGCGAAATACTAAACTATATTTTAAAAAGATAATTTTTAATTTCCTTTTTTTCAAAATGAGAACCTGTTTTAGAATTTTAGCCTAAAATGGTTGTTATGTGAAGGGTGCTTAAAAATGAAATTTTAGCCTAACAGGTCCTTAAATGTTAGGTTCTTATACGCGGGTTTTTGCTGTATTCCAGAACGACCACGCCACCTAAAGATGGGATCGAATTACCTGACTGCACGGAACATGTGCACGAACCTCATCGGTATTCGGAACTACCTACTTCGGAAACGATGCTTTTCCGAATATTCCGCAGTTAAAATTAGTGCTTTTTAGATGCTTCTTTTACAGAACAATTAAAAATGATTTTAAAACAAATTAAATGCATCATATTATAGTATCCCGATTTTTTCACTTGAGCCGTGAGCCTAACACTTTGAGACCAGAGCCCAACCAAGATTTCGGAATTGAGCCCGGCCATTTGAGCAATGAGCCCTGAGCCCATATACCATTATTAGTCTATAGAAATGAAAGAAAGTTATAGTGCTTAGAAGGAGGCAATTCCGGGAGAAAGACCCTTAGGAATAAATAATAAATAAATAATAAATAATTTATTCCTAAGAGTCTTTCTCCCGGAATTGCCTTTTTGGTCTCCGAGTTCTAAAGAAGAGTGGCTTATCTTCTCAAGACCTGGTGTCAGTTTTCTGTGCCATAATCAGATCCACATTAGGGTATGCTTCTCCCGCGTGGGCGCCCCCCCCCCCCTCCCTGAGTACCCGAGTGAATTTCTGGAAAGGGTTCAAAAGAAAGCGTTGAGGATAATCTTCCCGGGCTTGTCTTACGAAGAGGCAATACAGCTGGCGAACATTGAGACACTGAGAGTGAGAAGGGACAAATCGTGTCGATCCTTTGCCAAGGAATCAGGGTGCATATCTGGACTATTTAAGAAACATATCACACAGGACCTGAAACACAATCTCAGGTCTGGCCAACAAGCACAAAGGCAGGCCTTAGGCCAAACTGAGAGGTTTAATGAATTCATCACGGTCAAATATCAATAGACTATCAATATATTATTAATATATTACGAACCATGCTGTATTATTTATATATTTATATTATTAATGTTTTGAGTTGTAATGCTGGCTGACCCGCAATTCAGCCTATAAATGCTGCAATGGGTTTTATTAAACAATTATTGATTTGATTGATTGATTGATTAATAAGTATTTTTGTATTTTAAGTATTTTTATTTTTTATCCGCCCTCTAATTAGTATTTTTGTCCGTTTACTTTGTTCTTTTACAGAAAGACCATGTCTAACGTGAACAACATGACTGATAAACTCCAAGCACAGCTCAAAGTTGCCGAAAATGCATTCGAGAGAAGCGACGACTACCATTTCATAAGGCCTATTTACACTGTTGAGTCCGTTGAGTACCTCCTCAAAGAGGTTGGAGCTCTTTCTAGTGGCCGCAATGCTATTACCATACTTGAGCTAGGTTGCGGAACAGGATTGTTCACGAAGACTGCAACGGGTGTTTTGGAAGAGGCAACGAA